CATGGCAAAGCAAGGCATGGCATGAAGCTACTCAAAGAGCTTAACAAAAATCCCGTAGTGACCTTGAGCCAAAAGGGATCAGATAATACAATTGCAAGCATGTGAACATAGCAAAAACATAATCAGATCACAGACTTAGTGAAAAACTAGAACATGCAAATCAGATATCAAGTAGGCATGTTTACGAGCTCGATGCACTCACTACAGAGCAAGTCATGACAATTTAAGAATACACCCATCAAGAATACACATTATACAAGCTAGAAATGGCAAGAACAACAACATAGCATGCACGGATCAGCTACAACATCCTCGGCAAAATCTCTAACAAGTAGACAATCTGCCCAGATTCACGAAATAGCAGAAGTAGAGCTCGATTGACTCAATCTAGGGTGTTCCATAATTACAAACAAAGACATGGATGGATAGAGCACTACATGATTAGCAAATCATACTTACTGGTCATCCTCAAAAGAGGCACGGATCACTAGGAAACAACATGAACATATGACATATTGATAAAAACAGATCAAGGACTTAGAGAAATCCTAAGTCCCTGAAATCAGCATTAAGGAATGCACCACTTGGCAAGCTTGTGCTAGTCACCACACATATCACAAAAATACATGGATAGCACCTCTGTAAAGATGGCAAAACATATAGCAAAACTCATGTAAAGCTCAGGAGCATATCATGCACACATTAATCATGGCAAAAATGACAAATAGCTATTTGGTGCAGCAGATATGACAATTAACTCAAATAGCACTCTTCCAACAGCATTTCGGGCATCAAGATGAGCTCAAATGAAAATGATGCAATGAGATGAAATGATGTACTCTCTGAGGCGAACATTTTGATATGCTATACGTCCAAAACGGTTCTATGGATGCAAAGTTACGACATGATGAACATGGGAATTTGAAACAGGAAATCTCGGGGACTTAGTGAAATTTATACCTCCGTGAAAAGTCAACGCGGGACGGAGAGAAGCGGGACGGCACGGATCCGGATCGGGGCGACGCGTTTGGATCGGGGGAGTGGTGGATCTGGTCCCGATCCATGGGACCTCATCGGAGACGCGGTGGAGGATGACGCGGAGCTCGTCGGAGTTGCACCGGGGGCGGACCCGGCGACCCAAGGCGACGGCGGGG